AAAAAAAGAGGTAAGAAATTAAAGAAGTATCAATTCCCACTAATTTTTGTACTGTTTTTAATATTTTCTAATACACAATTTGCCTTTATATAAACATATGATAGTATGATGTATTTTATAAAAATACTATTTTATAACTTGAGTTTAATGCTTTTTTCTTAGTTATGCGTAAAATAATGTATGTGGTAATTGATTACATTTTATATTCAAAAAATATTGATTTTATGATACATTTCAAGATCTTCTTTTCTTTAAGAGGCAGTGTGTACTGGCTATGCAGTCAGACCTCATTTTCAGATTATGCCAAATTCTCAAACATTTTTCTCCATCTCTTAATTGCATATGAAAACATATCCCATGACATTGTTGAATTGAACTAGAAAATGTTAATGAAGTTCTTGACAGTGTTTCTATAAAATTGTTAAATGCATAACAGTAAAAGTTATTATTATTATTATTATACATATTTTTCCAGTTAATTTATAAAGTAGTAGACTTCAATGGTAGAGCCAGGATTGCCACTAACTAACTTGTGAATCTTGAACAATGTATTTAGCTTTTCTGTCTCATTCTCCTGTTCTGCAAAATAATGTTTTGGCTTAAAAATTAGCTGTAAGTTAATTATGGATCTACAATTTTATGATCTAATTCTGATTCATAACCGAATATGACCATAAAATAAATATTACTTCTGTCTTTCAGTTTGTGGGGACATCCATGGACAATTCTTTGATTTGATGAAGCTCTTTGAAGTGGGAGGATCTCCTGCCAACACTCGCTACCTCTTTTTGGGGGACTATGTTGACAGAGGGTACTTCAGTATTGAAGTAAGTCCATGGCATTTCTTTTTTATTTTTATCATTAATATTTTAAATTTATATATATCAGCGGAATGCATTACAATTCTTATTCCACATATAGAGCACAAATTTTTTATATCTCTGGTTGTATACAAAGTATATTCACACCAATTCATGTCTTCATACATGCACTTTGGATAATAATGTCCATCACATTCCACCATCATTTCTAACTCCATGCC